GGGAGAGCTGCATAGAGTCCACTAGTATTTAATATTAGCCTGTACTGGCTCAATAAAATGTGACCTCCAGATCAGTAAAATTAGGGGTGCTGGGAGAGCTGCATAGAGTCCACTAGTATTTAATATTAGCCTGTACTGGCTCAATAAAATGTGACCTCCAGATCAGTAAAATTAGCGGCGCTGGGAGAGTTGCATAGAGTCCACTAGTATTTAATATTAGCCAAACGCGAACGGAGGACAAGGTCTTCGGACGTCATAGTCACGTGACCTCATAGGCTCATAATCACGTGACCCCAGACCCAATCAATGATCAATTAGGTTCGGGCAGCGCATGGTCAGCCCCCTGTCACCCGATCTTGAGGTGACGTACGACACCTCGTTTACGCGATCAATGTCTGAAAGGCTACACACGTCGCATTGCTCTATCCAGAGCCCTTGCGCTGGCAGTAGCGCGCGCGCCCGCCTCACGGCTTGTGAAACAAGCGCGCCCGAAGTGGCGCGAAAGCACATGGTTAGGTGAACACGTCGCATATGAGGACAAAAGCGCGGGTAATTTTGGCACCACTGTAGAGTGGTGCCAAAATCGATGGGTGGGTTAATGGCTAGAGCCCTTTTACCGCCGTGAGGCGGGCGCGCGCTGCTGCAAGCGCAAGGGCTCTGGATAGAGCAACTCTTAGGACGATGGTTATAACCCCAACCCTAATAGTAATCGTAACCAACTGTCTGTTTATATCGTACTACTGCTAAGATTCACACAGCATTATGTATACGCGTTGACCATTGTTAATGATCAGGCCCGGGCAACTGCTAAGCAGTTAGCCCTAGATTTCACGACAATTGACCCCAGTGTAATTACATAAGGGGTTAATTGTCGGGTGGTCAACTGTCGGGGGTCCAACTCAAATTTAGCGCTCCTACTTACTGGGCCGCGCTCAGCCTGTCATTCCGCCAAATCTTTATTCGGTTAATGAACATAATAGCCTGGGGTCCTCAGGTAACGCTCCTACTAAATGCTCGCCCAAATTTTAAGAAAATTCTTGTGAAAAGGCCCTTTGGGTAAGAAATTCAAAATTGATATTCATCGGTGTATTTTTGGACGCTGATTCCGAATCACACCCCCCCCCCCCCTTACGGGTGATACTCGTAAAATATTTGTTCCATATATTAGGGACCGTCGACGAGTCCAACTCGGCGCTCGTCCTGGTACTAGGTTATAAACTTACAGTCCCCCCCCCCCCCTCCTTGACGTATAGTAAGGTGAAAATGCTTGATCCCTGGATTACCTGAGGACCCCAGGCTTTAATGTTGGTAATAGAGATTAGGCGGAATGACAGGCTGAGCGCGGCCCAGTAATCCCTGGAGAGTTATAGTGTATAGCATATGGGAAAAAACCGTTTTGCCTTTGGTCACGTGATTCACATAGCCATGTGTATACGCGTACTGCGTGACGCGCTTGTTTCACAAGTTGAATATATTTCAACTACGGCGGTCGCGCGCTACTGCAAGCGAGAGGGCTCTGGTTAGAGCAAGTCACGTGACAGGCTAGTAAACCATGAATTCGATTGTTTAGCCATGGGGCTCGGGTTCAGGGTTAGGGTAAAGCCAAAGGTTGTGGTAAGGGTTATGGTTAGCTTCGGCCTCGGGGTTATTGTTGGGATTAGGGTTTATGTAAAACCGTTTTGTACGGCTGCAAAACCATAAAAACCAAATGCAAAGTTGCGTGAAATTTTTGGGCGAGCGAATTAGCAAAAGCCCAATTGTCGCGGTAGCTACGTAAGTTGTAAAATTCATAACCTATTTCATATTTACCTGGCCTGCATCTCGAAATTTTAAAGAGTCAAGCAAAACGCGATGATATAGTTACATAAAAGCCGCAGGAGGGTGATCATTACCCACCAAACCTATTTGCTACTAGTATTGGATAATGGATATCGCCTGCATTTCCGAGAGAGGTATTGTGTATTGGTAAACGAGGTAGCGACATAATGTTTTTTGATAAAATGCTTCTCTCGTGTCTCAAAGTCGATGATTTTTATTTATTTGTTTATAATACTAATAGATGTGGATACTGGCGGGGAGGTGATCATTGTTTGTTTACGTTTTAGTTCGTGAGGAACAGTCACCAAAAGTGAGTTGCTTACCTGCTGTGTGTTTTCGTACTCTGGTCTTCACTCAAGTTGCAAAGCTGCAATAAACGTATCGCAAAGAACATTTCTATCTGAAAATTGTGTTAGTACCAGTTTGATCAGTTAAGCTAAGGTGAGGATTGCCTCGCTCTTTCGGTTTCAGCTTAACTCCTTAGGTCATAAGTAGAACCGAAGGATCAAAATATATGTTGCTCGTATTAACTATAAAACATCAATTTTGAGGGATTAGGAAGTGTTTATAGGTTCTGAAACCTAGTTAAATCGATTTTTCGTGCAATTTTAGGTCAGAAACAGTCATCAAAATAAGTTAATACGAAGGTCGATTTCTCGGTTATTTTTGAGCTTTCGTTCAGAAAATAATTCGGGACCTTCAAAGGGGGGTAACAAGAAGGCGTTACAATTGTAACAAGCCTTCGATAATACAAAATTTGCATCACATCTTCAACCTGCTTAATAGAGGCGCCACCTAAAACGTAAACAAACAATAATCACCTCTTTGACCTGCTTGATAGAGGCGCCACTAAAACGTAAACAAACAATGATCACCTCCCCGCCAGTATCCACATCTATTGTAATAGTACCCGTCCATTTCGTTATTATAAATCAATTCACGACCCTATGATTTCCAGCACTGGATTTAGTATACACGATAATTCTGAAGTCAGTGTGATACTCTCAGGTGACCACTAGGAGGGCCTGTGAGTGGTTGTCGTTCACAGAGCTGTCATTGATTGGCTTACAACACGTACTCATGCGCTGCAGCAGCAAGACAGGAAGCATTAAAATCGAGTAGTAAGCTTGGAGACTTCTATAAGCAGAGTAATTTTACATCTTGCTGCAAAAATCCGCCAATTTTGACGGACACGAATCTAACATATTTTCAGTAAACATTTCAAGTACAACGAAAACGAACTAACAACAATTGAAGAAAACAAAAAAGAAAATGGTGGATTCATCAACAGAAAACTTCGGTGTCAGGTACGTACTGAGCCCGCAACACGGAAATGAAATTCTTTAAAGCTTTTCGGAATATATTTTTACCGCAGCAGAACAACCGATGCTTTCCTGTTGTGCCTACGAAACTGGCTGATAGCACTACTTGCTTAGATATATTCTCGTTTAGACACTTTCAGAGGGAAATGGAATAACGTCCAAAAAATTTCCGCTAGCGCAAATGCTTGTTTTCCATGTGGGCCTAACTTAGTAACTTAGCTAGTAGCTTATTGTTCTGAGGTTCCTAACCATTTCTTAGGTTAAACCACTTCGAGTGTAATTTGTATGCCTTTTTGGCTTCAGTTATACTGTTTTGTAGTTACGATCATGCCACATAATTTTGAAACCATTTGACTTTACGGAGCATTAGTTTTACAATCACCTATTGTTCTAAATCAAAAGACGAACATATGCAATATTTTAGCGCGGATGCATGTACAGATTGTTTCGACTTCCATCAATACCAAATGTTCACCTCTATTGTTTCTGATTTCCGATCTTTTGATCAGAGATCCGAGTCATTGGTTTCAAACCTGCTTTTATACTGGCGATATTGTACATTGATTTCATCTTCCGCAACTGTCCGAGTGTAATCCATGCCTGTGGTTTCGGACAGTCATGTAACTGTATTTTTAGTTCAGCTCCGCCAGTTTAAATTGATCCATTAATGATTTTAGTAAATGTTTCGCATCCCACGAATTAAATTTCCGTTTGTAATACTAATATAGATGGCAAGGTGATATACATTTTATTTCCAAGCAAGGTCATATTATATAGTCCAACTATCATGAAATACTAACTCTTTCTATTAAACATGATGTTTTGTTATTATAATGAAGGAAGGTGCATTTCCATAAAATCGGTTCACAGCTGGAACAGCGTTTTGTACTTCCACAGGCTCTTGGACTGGAAGCATGGAAAAATTATCCACAATAGCATTAAACACCGTGCACCACATAGCAGCCCCACCATAGAGAAGAGTCCTCTCATTGGCTTAGCTGCTAGAAGCAGGGCTATGATTGGTCGAGCTCGGTCACGTGACGTGAGCACTGAGCGGATTGTGTTGAGAGAAACAAGGTGAGATAATGGCGGATTAGGGGGAGCGGGGCTCGGAGTCCCGTTGAACCGGATGTGGAGCTCAGGGCTCCTATTGTCTTCGGGGTCCTGGGATTCTTGGGCTGATTTGTCGTGTTTTACGGTGCTTATTGGAGAGTTTTACCAGTCCTCTGGTTGTGAATGATAACACTAGCGGTGGCACTAAGAGTGCACTGGCGAGACACCGTGTTGTTGGATCACAACAAGATTACTAATTACATCGCTTAACTGTTGCACTTTAATCATGATCTACCTCCGAGCACGATTCTTTTGTATCTTGATAACCAGCAAAACAGCACCAAATTTCCGAGCGAGTTCAATCAACAAGCAAATGGTTATGCAGCAAAACCTTATTATACAGTAAACGTAAAGTATCGTAGTATAGTATCGATCAAATCATTGCATACCAACAGTTCGGACGCCATTCCGACTATCACAGTTCACAATGCCAAGCCTCTCCTTATGAATTATAGTCACGTGATCTGATCCTGCAGCCACGCCGCTTTTCGATCTAATTCTGAACTCTAGTAGCTGAGTGAACCTTTAAACTGATTCTTATACTTTGTATTTAATTTTCAGTTGTACAGAACCACGTTAGTTTCCGTTTGATAACGTCACGTGGCAAACACGTGCTTGACCGTAAGTCTCTAGTAAAATTCTGAGACCACCCTGTCGTGAATCTTCTTTTTCCATGTGTTATCCCGCGAAATTTGCTTGAAATGGGAATTGGTACTGTGCTGAGTTCAAATATTTTTGATCGTTGATACTTTTTAATATTTTTTGTTTTTGGGTATGAAGATCGTCGTCGTTCATTAATATTATTCTGCTTATAATTTAGGTGCACACAAAATCACAATTTATTCAGTGAACAAACATATTATCCTTATCTACATATCAGGACAGCGGTTGAAAGATTTCAAGTTCATGTAAAGTGTTGAAGCTCCAAAAATCCCATATCCAGAAGATCGGCTCTTTATGGCATTTTGCTTGCCCATCACCGGTATAAATATGGACAATCATACCCTAAATATACTGTCGGAGCCTAACGTCAAGCTAGAACTGTCCTCCCCATCCATCAACATCAACCAGGATCTACTTAAACCTGCCGCACCTCGAGATAACATGTTCTCTCTTAGTTTTCAGAACATTGCAGAAAAGCACTCGCCCCTGCTCAACTTATCTCAACCAGCCAATCTTCTGAATTTCAACAGTGACGATAAGAACAGGAATATTATGATAAGTCAGAGCAGCTCAGAGCAGAATCCTACTTTATCAACTCTTCTGAATCTGTCCCACTTCGCCAGTCCTACCTCACTGAGCCCCACTGTTACCTCGTCTCTACTGCAAGCTTCAAACTTATCACTCCTATCAAAACTGCCCTTCTTGAACCAGACAAAACAATTAGATCATCCTAAGACCTCGCAATCCCCCTCAACAGTGCCTACAACATGCCTCCCATTGCCGATACCCTCCAACCTTCCACTCTTTGGAGCTATCAACTCCCAGATTCTCAGCTACCCAACCTCTCCTCAGTCAATACCTGATCTCCTGGCCAGTCTAGCAGCAGCAAAGTCTTGTGAGGGTTCCGTCGCAAATATGGAATCATCTGGGTTGGCTGCAGAAACACTGGCGAAGTTTACTAGCAACGGACTGGTCAGTCCTAACTTGTCGAGTTTGCAGATCCCTGATCTGGCTTCCAATATAAAGCTGGATTCTCAAAAAGACATCCCATTCCCAGCAAATGGAAATGGTAAAGGATTAAGAGTTATAACCGTGCTTTAATAATTTCCCATATTGATAAACTTCGTTATCGTTAGAAGTTCAGTGTTCCAAGTATTTGATATTTTAAAACCTTAAACAGTTTACCCTTTACCAATCCATTTATTAATAATAATATTTTCAGATGACTACAAGCACAAAACTGACACAGTTTCTAATGTCGCTAACATCATGTCGAACAGTCTGAACGGCCAACTGTAAGTCTTTTGAGAATCTCCATTTCCAGAATATATCATCTACGTTAGTCGTTAAACAGTGATTGTACGCTTTATTTCAAAATGTAACACGTAGCTACCAGTATACCAGCTGCGCGGAGACTTTTTCAGGACTCGTGCCACGTTGTGATTTCCGTATCACTAACACCGGCCGCGGCTTGTGTACAACTACAAGCTGTATGTATACAGACTGCTGTTACCATGGAGTCAATGTTATTGCCATGAAAACCACGCCTTGACCACAGAAACATATTTAACTCATAGCAACAACGTCGTTACTTTGATTTGATATACCGTTAATTTATGCCTGGGATGGCGTTTCAATCATGGTAACCTTGTAACCGTGGAAATCATGTTTCAACATCGTTACCATTTTGTTGGTAAGTACTGGTAACGTGGTAACCATTTATTACCACGGTTGCCATGAAGTTACCACTTACCAAATACCATGGTTACTGTAGTAACCATATTTTCACGCTGGTTGCCAAGCTTAATACTATCAACACCACGGTGCCTCACTGCAACTATAACCTTTACAGGGAGATCAACAAGCAGCTCATGACTTGTCTAACTGTAGCGCTAGAAGAGATCAAAGAACTCAGGAGACAACTTTCAGATAGAGGGGGAACAAACCAAACAGATGTTAAAACCCCACTACACGCAAGAACAGGGAATGAAGTGTTCAGTCCGTCTCAAGATAGGAACTCAACAGATTGGGATTCTAACGATAACATCTCCACCCCGGGCTCGGTAAGTATTGTAGTCAGATAGTACAGGACGTGTTCAGAATGGTTATTAAATGTTGGGTTAGTAGTTTTAGGTCTTAACGATAATCATAAACAGCTGGATATCATGGCTTTTGGAATAAATATACGAGTTAAATTTGATTTTATGCAAATACAAAGTCAAACGATCATGAGTGTAGTGAATTGAAATTAGATATAATAAGTATGTGGTCATATTTTTCCCAATGAAGACAAATTTAAAGACATTTAAAAGACACAATTTAAAAATCTATTAGTAACAAACGTGATTAAAACTGTTCGACCAATTTCAAACATGGCACAGACTTTTATAGCTCTGCGCTTTCAAGGAACTTGAGCCTATTCTGAACCTCCACTTCAAGACCCAACTTGTAGCCTGGTCCAGGGAAAGAAGTCGCATCCTCAGAAACGTAGATGGCATAGTTTCCATATACCGGACCATCTTTCTGGGGGCCATATCCATGATCTGTTCCTTGCCAATGATTCGCAGGAGCATACGCTATAGTGGATACCTCAGTTCTAGATGTAGGGCCTTTTGATACTCCAGTTAGCGGATAACAATAATAGTGGTTTCCGAGACCACGAGTTTTGTCATCATTAACATCAGCCGGGGAGAGATACCCTCCAGTCATCACCACTCTGTGTCCATTGTTGGTGTACACCCAATTAAAAGCCAGGTCTCCTCCCACAGAAAATATTGGGTCGTCCTCCATGTTTTGAGCGTTTTTACTAACGCTCTCCTGAATGGGACCCCCCTCTGTGACAACGTCTCTACCTGGATCCATAGCCTGGAATCTTGAGAGAAGGGACCTGTCTCCCTGCTTAAACCGGAACACCTTGACAGCATCAACCTCACTATCTTGGTGTCTCACTATAGCAATGTAACTAACAGGGTGTCTCCAGATGAACCTGTTGAGGTAGTCCTTGCTTAGAGCTTCAGAGTGGGTCCCGATGAAGGAGTCGTCAATCCATCCTGTGGTGTAGTCCATGATGTGACCATCAGAGGGGTTGAGGTTCATGGCAAGGTTCCAGTATTTAAACTGAACTCTTTCGATCTTCTCGATAGTCTTACTTTCAACAACCACTGCTACTAGCAGTGCCAACAAAACAATGTTTTTAACAGACATGATGTGGATTTGTGTGCAATTCGTGGACAAAATACGATACGAGGCACAAAAATTAGGTTTAAGTACCCAATGATCGAACGAGTTATGCCAAGATCTGTCATCAAACTCACCATACCCAGTTCATAAGGTAGAAAGTATGAACTTTTGTATTTATCTGGGTCAGTTGTAGGAGTTTCACAGGAATTATGGGCTAGATATTATTGTATTATACTGATAGTGCAGAGTTATGGCTTATTATATCAGGTTAGTCGGATGGCTCATGAGAAATTACTTCGTGACCACGTGATGCCATGTACTTCTAGGCCTCTCATAACATAAAAGTGTACACATAATGAAGCGTTGAACCTTATTTCAATAATTTCAGGCGTCCCCAAGTCCATTCACCACGGAATCTCAACAAACTTCAAACCAAATGATCGACATCAAGAGTCTTCTGAAGCTAGGAGAGAGCAAGGAATGGGCGATACCGGTGATAAAGCCTTTAGATCACATGCCCTTGGGAGCCAAGAGAACACGTGCTGGGGATGCTAAGCTGAAGAGCAACGTTCCAGCTGCTTGTAGGGTGAGACCTGATTACAATTTTGTATTGCATAAGATTATGAATTAAGAAATTGCTGCATCAGATATTATCACTTTTACGGTTATTACAGTTATTGATTAATAACAGTTTAAATGTCGATGGCGAAAGGAATTGTCGACTCCCAAATTCAACAAACTTTGTCCGCAGTCGATAGTGAAGAACGTGTACAGAGAACTTGTCAGAAGGGAAGCGATCAACGCTTTCGACCTGCACCAAGGGCAAGAGAGTGCTCACAATGTAAAAATATATTGGCAAGTGATCGAGTACATGAAGAAAACTACCAGTAACTGCTCCTGGGAGGAGGCTGACATGTTGTGTGAGTTGTAATTCTTTTACTGGGGTTGATTTATTGTTGTATTTGATTATTTTTACCGATATGAAATACAATTTTTTGATATATCATCCATCTTCATTATCAAATTCAAATAATACGCTCGCTGAGTATAAGCATTATTCATAAAACCAGTCTACCTACCATCAGTTTAACCCCTGATAACACACTCAGACGCGATCAGAACATATTGGCGAAGTCTACGCGACGACAGACAGCGGGAATTGAGTGGTAAGAAGTACAACCACCGTAGGATGATCATCAGAAGAGAGATCATGAAACGGAAATTGAAGTCCAGGCAGAAAGCGATCAATTTAGTGAGTTGGGGTACCGAGATGAAGCAGTTGTTTGCAGAGACACTCACTCTGGATTACATGAGCAGTGAGGAAGAGGTGGGTTGCTTTGCTTTGCAAATTGTTATTTATATATTCCTAGAGTGGTATTGGCCTTCGATTAAAACATCTTGAGATTTTTAGGAAGCTGAATGATATCGTGCACACTGCACAGTACCGAAACCATTATGTAAAAACCCTCAGGACAACACAGTAGAATCACGAGAAGGTCCCCGACCGCGGGTGGTAAGGAGACTCCCCTGGTCCAGTCCCACCCTCAAACAGTGCAAAGCAGATCTAGACTCTGAGTTCAAGAAGATCTGCAGTGCAAGACAGCTGAAGGCAACAGCTCATGTGTATCGTAGAGACCAGGTGATTAGTGTCAGGCCTCAACCTGTTACCTGTCCTCAGTGGGCCGCTGACCCTAACTGGGTTCCTGAAAACCTGGTTAGTAACATTTCTTCAACAGTCGAATAGTTTGTTGAGAAGATCACATACTATTTGATAATAAAGCATTAAATCAATTTAAATTTACGAAACCTGTCTGCGAAATAAAGGGCCTGAAAACTTAAATGATAGTCTCTAATAACTTGGTCTCTGTTTCAGAACGACTCAACAGAGGAAAAGAAAGAGAAAGTAAGCAGACCCTCGATGTTAACATACGATCCCTCATCCCCAACAGCCACTACCTCTCATTTACTTGGACTCAGTGATGAGATCTTGAAAACATTTAGGGATCCTAATCTTCTCAACAATACGGTACATAAACACAATTTGGTGATTGTTGAGTCAACTTCTTTGCAAAACAACGACTCCAGCAGTTAGTAATAGTCAAGAATTGTAAATCTATTGATAAGCATGTGTTTTTGTTAGCTGCACGTCAGTGGCCTCACTATAACTTTTCCGACAGGATTCAACTCAAGGGAACGAACCTAAGAAAGATGAGGTAATCGTGGACTCAACCCAGAAAAACAGTTCCTTGTACAACATCTACCCTTTAACAGGGGGCCTCTCTCAGACTACCGTCTCCACAGCAGACCCCTCAATACCCGTCTCAGCAACTCCCTCAACAGAAGTTATCAACTCTACAACAGTCACTCTCTCTGTACTACCCGTCAGTGGGAAGGACGAGTCAAGTGATACCATGGTGACGAGCGAGCAGCAGATCACATCTCAGTTACCTGATCCCGCCCCACAGACCAGGGCAAGTTACGATAAGGACCTTCTGTCTTCGCTGTCTGAAGGGGACAAGGCACTGTTTGAGAGTGTTGTTGAAACACTGGCGGAATCTGATCCCAGGGTCAGGGATCTCAACCCAATAGATGTGATTATGTCTCTCAACATGACATCTGATTCCCTGGGAGGGTTACTAGGTGGGTCTCAACATAACATCTGATACCCTGGGAGCCGGGAGGGTTACTAGGTTGGTCTCAACGTGACATCTGATACCCTGGGACGGTTGCTAGGTGGGTCTCAATATGACATTTGATACCCTAGGAGGGTTGCTAGGTGGGTCTCAACATAACATCTGATACCCTGGGGGGGGGGTTACTAGGTGAGTATCAACCTTCAAAGTGACATCTGATACCCTTGGACGGTTGCTAGGTGGGTCTCGATATGACATCTGATACCCTGGGAGGGTTGCTAGGTGGGTCTCAACATGACATTTGATTGTGATGTAGCATGATACTGATAGAGGAAAGGTACAGATTGCATAAGATGATACATTTTGGGATTTATTGTTCTGTATATTGAGCTTGTAAATTAATTTTACTTTTAAAGTTTCAACAGCATTAGCCATAATATTTGTGATTTGGCTATGATGCTGTAACTATTATTTGTTTGTTTTTAATTACACGAGATGTTGTGTTGACTTAAATTTAATATTTATTAACCAATTGAATTTTGTTAATCTTTTACGGTCACGAATTTTCAAGATTTGAGATAGCTGATATTTGATAAGTGACGATAGATTTGTGGATACAAAATTTTTCATTTGACTTATAGATCAAAGTGGTCGTTTCCTTTTATTTGCGAAAGTAGAATGAAAATAAGTTAAGTAAGTTGAATGGTAGGAACCGACAAAAATAAAATATTTTTAAAATCAAAAATTCATGCTCTGTTAATCAAGCTCAAAAGAATTATTTGTTCTACGATAAAACAACAAACACTCAAAACACAACAACGAATTAATAATGGATTAAAAAGCGAATTATTGGGCTTTATTCATATTCTGATTCATTTATTAATCAAATTAATAATCTAGATTCTAAACAGTTATAGATAATTAAAAACATAAAATCCATGAAACCCTTTCGATTTCTCATCATTGTTAAGTTAATATATCAAGTTTTAATATCAACCTTCTTGACTGAACATTTACTTGACACGAAATTAAATCCTTTTGTCTCTCGCTTCAGAACACCCTTTTGCTATCAGGACGCATTCTTCACCTCTATTTCACCAATCTGTGAGTTAACCCCTTTCATCTAGTCATACCGAGGGATTGTGAGTCGGTTCATTTTCAGGATCAGGGTGTTGGTCAGTTACCGGGTTAATAACTGTGCCAGCCATCTCCCCCTCAGTAGTGGCTAAATTCTCCATCATTTCAACTTCCAGGCCCAAGACCTCAAGTTGAACGTTCTGATCTATAGTGGCCGAATTTCTCACGAAATTCCCATCATGATCTTCAACAACAACGAAATCGTTCCCTTCTGGCTTCCTAAAAACTTCCGTGCCTACTGTGACTTTTCTACCGTCCTCGGCATCAATCTCAAACCCCAAAGTTTCTGCTGCATCAAGGGTTGAACTCTCGTCAAACTTTCCATCATCTTCAAACACTTCGTATTTAATCTTATCTGACATCACGAATTCCTCAGTGTTGTTTGCTGTTTCCTGATCCTGCCTCGGACACACACAAGACACCGGTGAACTAACTTCCCGGCATAACTTACCATCAGGTCCTGTTGTAACCTCTCCCTCCTCCTCTAAAAATTGAAACTCCTTCTCTGCACATTCCATCATTGCATGATCTGAGAGATCAGCGTAAACGTGCTTATCTGATCCCGAACTGGGGTGAGATTTATGATAGAATACAACTTACCTTGTAACTTGTGTCATACAAATATAAAACCATGAACAACTGATGTAGACAGATGATGAGCTTGGAGGTTAAGCTTGTCAAATGCTTTATGCCCATTTAATTGTTGAAACTGAGCTCCCAATTAAATCAAATTAATACAATTTATTTTAATCTAAACCTGGAGGGATTGATGGTTTGCATCTCAACACAGATCGTGGCACTAGCTAGAGGGTTGGAGATGGTCATACTGTGGTCGTGGCAGCCGGACATGGACAATTTAGTGGCATTTGTCCTTCCACTAGCACTCTTCCCTGTAGGCAGACGAAATGGTAAGATAGATTGAATTTGAAGAAAATTTTGATACGATTCTATCCCTATGTTATATACAGGTTATATATAGGTTGTTAAAAAAGAAATAGATATTAGTTACCTTCAATTGAAAATTTCGTGTTATCTATCAATTTATATTTTGAGAATAAAATAGACTTCAAATCATAGCTGAAATGTCTAAAAAGTTACTTTACCTAGCGGACCTTTGTGAGCGGGAAGTGAGCCATGCGAGTTGGGAGGAGAGTTCTTCTTTTTCTTTATGCAGAAGAAAGCAGCCTCTCGGAGATCTTTGTTGAAGACAAAGTGAATTATCGGGTTCACCATCTGTGGGGTTGTTTGTCATGTTTTTAAACGAGAAATAAACCGAATACGATCGTTTTATCATTTTAATCTTCGGGAATATTGGAGGATGTAAAACTTACCGAGTTGAGAATGACAAGGATGACCAAACAGAAAGGATGTTAAACTAACCGAGTTGAGAATGACAAGGATGACCAAACAGAGAGGATGTAATACTTACCGAGTTGAGAATGACAAGGATGACCAAACAGAGAGGATGTAAAACTTACCGAGTTGAGAATGACAAGGATGACCAAACAGAGAGGATGTAATACTTACCGAGTTGAGAATGACAAGGATGACCAAACAGAGAGGATGTAAAACTTACCGAATTTAGAATGACAAGGATGACCAAACAGAGAGGATGTAAAACTTACCGAGTTGAGAATGACAAGGATGACCAAACAGAGAGGATGTAAAACTTACCGAGTTGAGAATGACAAGGATGACCAAACAGAGAGGATGTAATACTTACCGAGTTGAGAATGACAAGGATGGCCAAACAGAGAGGATGTAAAACTTACCGAGTTGAGAATGACTAGGATGACCAAACAGAGAGGATGTAAAACTTACCGAGTTGAGAATGACAAGGATGACCAAACAGAGAGGACCGTATGCTGTGAAGAGAAAGTACTCCTCGGAGTCCTTCTCGTTCTCTTGGTTTCTGAACATGTAGTAGGAGACGTGTGGCGTTATGCCGAACCAGGCTGCTGGTAACTCCACTGAAATCAAGGCAATGTACGTTTAGTTTTCCTTATGACTTTGTTAATCCGTATAAGACTAGGATATACAATGAATTCACCGAGTTGTTTAATCTTTAATTATTCATACCGAGCGAATCCCACGTTGAGTAGAATATAAAAATTAGAATAAAAACTATTGCCAGTCGGCGCCAAACTGTCAGCAATAGCAAACCGTAAGGTCCTCGCCCCTCGGTTATAAATCAGATTATCACCCACAAGAAATTCTCGCACATTAAAAAAAAGTTAAAATTCTGAAAAATCTTTCAAAGGTTTGCCGCGTACTCTGACAATTGTTTTTGGCACAGTCGAACAAACCGTAATTATTAACAACAAACATTCACCCTTGTTTGTAGCGTGAACTTGCATGTAGAACCCGACCAGCCAGAAAGAGTAGGTGATAGTGAAGCTGGAGAGGAGGCCCAGTACTGTTCTCTCTGCTCTTACTGTTGCTTTGTCAATCTGATCCGCGTTAGACTGGCCCGCACTACCTGAGTTAGGGTATATGTTTTTATAACTTGCCCACTTTAACTTTAAGTCGCGGAATTGAATTTTTCAGGAACAGATATTTTTGACGTTTTAAACTTAGTTTTATGATTGGAGTCAGACTCAGTTCTTGGTTATGTTTTATGGTGAGAGATATGGTTTGGGATAACATCACGGTTGTGTCAACGTCTAGAGAAGTCATATGACAATATACAGATGGATAAGAAGTCATGCCACCATATGAACTTCTAGTAGTAGTAAGTTATATCTAGGACTTGTACCAAGAAGTATTATAAAACGCAAAGAAATGTGAAGAAATCATAGTTGGGCAGTTAAGCAACATTTTGTAAAAAGTTCCTCGAATTTGTTACATTTTTTCAGTTTACAATTCGAGAAAATTCGGCATCTAAAATTTTCCAATTCACTAAGACGTAGTAGTTCACTAAATGTAGTAGTCGAATAAAGTTTCAGATAAATAGTGAAAAACATGTGACCAAATCGTTAATTATGAATATTTTAATGATTTATGAACAATGAACATTATAAAAACCATTTGAGCTCATTAAGATAGTAAGTACAATAGGTTATTTTTACTTTATCGGCGAAACGTTCGGTAGGTTATTACTTTTAAAAGTTCGTTGAGTTCGGCACCTTTTATAAAAGTTCGTTAAGTGCGATTTCCCCAACTATGGAACCAATACTAAGTAATACCACGCTATAAAAACTACATAAATAAAAACTTTTCACTATGTTATATAAAAGAACGGGAATAGTAAAGCAGCCTAATAACAGTAACGTCACTAAAACTTATATATTAGTCTAGCTTCAAACTTAGATACATTAGTCTATATCTGATATCCGTAGTGCATATATTCGTAGTTCAAATAAGCAACGCGTATATGAGCTCAGTTTACAGCATTTTCATATCGTTTAAATTCAAATATGCCCAAAACGTGCACAAAACATGTGCATATGTAGAGTACGTTGCTTCTACCTTACTGTTAAGATTTTTTCATTACGAAATTCTGCCATTTCACACGATTAAAATTCCTGCTAATAATAGGACTGTCTGGTTTATGATAACAATCGTTAATTTTAAACGAGGATCAATACGCTTTTGACGCGTATAATTCTATAATTCGCTATTAGAGCAGTATTTAAGTGTTCTCCCGCCATAATCATAATTATCATCATTTACATAATTGCGTTCCTCATTCAATGGCACGGGTTCTGGCTGTTGCATTAGTTTAACCGCTGGTAGTGATCATTGTGGTCTTCATTTTATCAACTTATACCATGTGCAGATGGACATTTCGTCTGCTTTAAATTAACGAATATTCTTTAAATTTATTCAGATTATTATTTAAGTTTGATAATAATCTAATGGCACTTACTAACTGGTTACTATAACTGGTCACTGACTCTCTGGTTTTAACGAAACCAAAAACGCATTACATTTCGACAGGGTTGGTCCGTATTCCGTACATGCAGAATATGGGGGAATATGGGTGATAAGTTTTCTCAGGACATGATAATGACAATGAGGAGATAACATTGGTCATTATAAATGTGTCACAGGATTAGTCATGTCTCACGTTACTAGCACTGCTCGATATTTATATGGGGCTCAGGGGTTGGTGACAAAAACATGAAGTAACTACACCTATTGATTTTAGCTTATTATTTTAAAACTTTCCACTACTTTAACTAGTTCTACTGCCAGATTAAATTTAAAGATAGTTGTCATTAATTTGTGCATTAAATCTTATAAAATAGGATAAAAGTGCTTTAACCAGGTGCAGCCAGTCCTGGCTCCATAATATGAAGAACCTGCATTGTTAATTTAATTCTAAATGGAAAGCTCGAATAAAACATAGTTCATTATTTTTATTCGAATCGAGAATTTTACTACTAACTCACACTTCGGTGCGCTATTTTTCTGTTGGACCTTGTTCTTTGCTGCGGAGATACTATCCTCCCTGTTGAGATCCGATCTACCAAACATGTTACTCTCGGTAATCCCCTTGTAACACAGGGTCAGCAGTCCTGAAGACTCGTTCACAACCCTGCAGTTTGTTTGCTGTGTGAAACTGATCAGAATCCTGTTCCATCACAATCCTGCTAACTTATTTAATATTATACTTTAACTGTGTAGTGATAGTATAGTAGTAACACTCACGACCACCACAGTGAACTCACAAGTTTTTTTATCTGTACGAGTGCAGATCTATTTTGTGCGCGCTGTTAACGAATTACCATCATACGCGTGGAATGTGGATACATAATTGGTAAATTGGTTTACCATTATCTCTAGGTCTATGTAAGTTTTAGTTATACTTCGGAATATGTCACATCAAATCCTGGCTTATCTAGTTAAACTCCCTCATAATTGAACTTCATTGATTGCCTAGAAATATTTGGGTTCAAATTACGGTTTATAATTATAATTTATAGCCAACATTTTTGGATCAGAGAAGGTGCTGATCGTTCTTGGCCTTCTTTCTTTTGTCATCAACAAATAAAGCTGCTGTTTTGTTTATATTTTTGTTATCAATGCAATTTATCGTGACTGTCTGCTTTTTAGATATTTTCGCCCTGAAATATTTTACTCAATCCTACAAAATCAACTTTGATTAGTAATTATGTTATTGGAGATTAAACATATGAATATTTTAAATTTCTTGATCATAAAAAGTTGAAGATGTTGGAATACCAAATTTTTAAATCTTTTTTATTACGACTTGATTGCAAAAACACTCACACTTTCTTGCGTCGTTTGTCAAGGAAGTAGAGCAGGATGAAGGTTCCAATAACCACCATCACGCAGTGCAGAGTAATAGGCATTGTCACCAGGAATATCTGTAGGTGCTTTAACATCTAAATAAATCGTCATCAGCTATAGAATATAAGATAGTTCTTCGTGCTGTTTACTAAATCTAATCAGCAGGAACCAGGAATATGATATTTGGTCGGAGCCTTGCATGGTGCATACCTTTGTCTTGGATTGTATTGATGCCAAATTAATCCATAAAATTTAGATGTTCTTTCATTAAATCATAATTTTGTGAATTCTGAATTAAAATCACTTTTTATCCCTGACTGGCTGTTCAGCAAGTTATTAGCATTAATTTTATAAATTGAACAATACTTATAGACGCAGCACTCAGCAGATAAAGTTAAACGTTTAGATATCGAGTCTCGCTCATTTCTAGTTATTTTCCTACCACTTCCCCTCAACGTTGTGTCGATTCCTCTGCATTGTATAGATTTGGATTCTGGTGGGAAGGCGTGGCATATTTTGTTGACACGTGACAATGATTCTGAGATTTAATTGGTCAATAGTGATAGGTGATTGGTTAATTTCTGTCACGTGTCAAACTCAAAGGAATATGCCTCGCCTTCCCACCACAATCCGCACCTATGACCCCTTGCTTGTCCGAACATTTGAAACTTTATCCTTTAATTTTGTTGTGCACAGTTAAGTTTATATCCTCGGCAAACTATAAAGCGATTACAAACTTTAAAGCCTTGTAAGCTTGTACCTAACTAAACGTCCCATCGAACATGTCGGATTAACAAATCCAAAGCTATTCTCTACCTTTATATTATGTTTATGACTATGGCTCTATTACCCATCTTTCAGTGATAGCCTCTGGCTCTACTCCGTTTCACTAACTACCTAGTACCTATACTACTAGTATAAAGTACTGGCATAATCGATAAAACTAGTTTTGTCTTTGTCTAATTTAAATTTAGGTAACCTTAACAACCTGAAGTAAACCTACATTGTCCAGGCCAGGGAGGGGGATGATAGCACAGATACCAGAGTGTGCGTCTAGGAAGTAAACGTGAACGTCGTTAATAAGGGGTATAACACCGATAAAGAGGGCGTGAGTAGCGAGTAGGAACACCACAACTAATACAACTGAGGTTCTGAAATAGTATTCTATTAGAATATTACTGTTAGATTATTTTAATATTAGTATTAAAAGGATGGGGATTTTTGGGGAAAACTGGAAAATTTATTAAATGATTCAGATATGAAATCCTGAAATTTTTTTTCAATTTATGAGACAAGAGAATTGAGAAACGCCGTTTTAAGACGCGAGGTGGATTAGGACTCTTCGGACTACATCAAATCAATTCCCTCTGGAACGTCCTCAATAAATGCAATAGATGAGTAGTGTTGTAATTAATTTATATTCATATAAATATGAATAATATATTTGTTTTTAAACTATTTACAAGTACAACGGGGGGGGGGGGGGGGGGGGGGGGGGGGGGGGGGGGGTGCAGGTACTTTTTTGATGGAACATAACCCTAAAAGTACCCGAGGGGTGGGTAGGTGTTTTTTTGAAATTTTCGAAAAGTATCATGGTACTGTTTTTGTCCCAAAAAAAAGAAGGGGTACCCCAAAACATGATTATAAAAGTATATTGTACTTTTTCATTACCAAAATGTTAGAATTGGGGTTTTCTGAAATTATACCTAGCTTGTTGTAGATCTAATTGGGTTTTTCTGAAATTATACCTATCTTGTTGTAGGTCTAATTGGGTTTTTCTGAAATTATACCTAACTTGTTGTAGATCTAATTGGGGTTTTCTGAAATTGTACCTAGCTCGGTGTAGATCTAATTGGGTTTTTCTGAAATTATACCTAGCTTGTTGTAGATCTAATTGGGTTTTTCTGCAATTTCTGTAGCGGAAAACCTTAAAAAACCTTAAATTTGCACTTTATTGCATTACGTTTGTCCAAACTTTCGCACTGTGGACCTTAAAAAACCTTGAATTTAACTGTTTTGGACCTTAAAAATGGGTCAAAAGGGGCCTTAAAAGACGTGAAAAAACCTTTAAAATGACTTTCAAAAATGCCGGCAACCCTGCTCACAAGTCACATCGAGGTGTCAGAACATCTTCAGTTTAGGAAAACTGATGAACAGGAATTTTTTGAAAAAAAAAGGAGGGGGTGGGGGTCATTCGGGAAAATTTCGAAAAGTACCGTGGTACTTTTTTGTTATTCCATTCGTGAAGGAGGTGGGTGGGTGGTTATTTTCAGAAATTTCGAAAAGTCAGCATAGGTTCCATCAAAAAAGCCCCCCCCCCCCCCCCCCCCCCCCCCCCACTACAAATCTGTATCTTTCATCAATAATAATACAGAATTAATTTAACGTAGTTCGAGGAGATCTGAATCCTCCTCATGTCCAAGAGTGGCCGTTTTCGTGTATCAAATATGATGTGACATAAATCATAGCATGATAATTTGCTTCAAGCAACACGAATACTACAAGAATACATTATAAAATCATAAACTAGATATTATAATATAAATATAAGAAGCCAAGAAAAATAATGGCGTATCAAATTACATCGATGTATGTGACAATGACGAATGATATAATATGTATAGTAATTACTAATTAGCACCTACCTTACCTTAATTTTCTTACCGGACTTTATCTAAACGGATATTAACAATGAATTGTACGCTGGATCGAGGCCCTAGCGTTCATTTTAATGTCCGTTCAAATAAAGTCTGTCCGTTTACATCAACATTTTGCACTCTTCATACATGGATATGAAATAAATTGGAATTTCGCATGCGAAATTCCAATTTATTTTGTAATTTTGAATATTTATATGCAGTTGACCGACAAAATGGTTAAACGTTGATATCTTGCCAAATGCCAATGCTACGATCTCTTTATCACACAAATTTAGGTCGAACAGAATTTCGATTGTTGTGTTCAACGTGTGCGCAGCATTTTCTGATCTCACATTCAGAAAATTGAGCGAACAAATTATAAGTACAATGCAATACAAATATTTGTCTGCTCCACGATGAATACTCTGTACCTTTGAGATGATTAAAGATACTATTTTTTCCATTAATAACATGCGTCGGTGGTTGAGTGGTACAATTCTCGCCTGCCACGCGGGAGGCCCGGGTTCGATTCCCGGCCGACGCATATCTTTTATCTGCTTCAACTTTTCTACTGTCTTTTACGATCACTTTAAAATGCGGAGCCCTAAGTTTTGATCGCGTTGATCCTAAATTTTCATATGATTGAGTTGGTTCTTATATTCAAAGAAAGGATATCTACAATATCATGCCCAGTAACAATTACACTAATTCTCTACCAGGAATTCTTTACCTAGTAAAATATCCGGTATAATTAGTGTATCAACAAAAACACTGATCATACATTGGTGAGGTCACGAAAGAAACATTCCGGCCTTATCCTATGTAAATATTCATCTAATCTAATACCACTCTGCTGCTTCCTTGTTTCTATTTGTTTGCAGCTATAAGCCAGGCTCCCTGTATCACCGAGGCCCTTGATACATGGTGTACAATGTACATTATGGCATTGTACATTGTTCATACCGCGAAGTGTATTTTTTGTTTCGAAGAATTTTCGTGGAATATCCTACAATGTGAAGTACAGAACTTATCCAGTTCGCAAATTAGTCCCATAAATAAATAATGAAATGGCGGAACGTTAATGTATATGTGTTATGGACTCTGATCACTGATTGCACTGATCGTCTGATCAGTGATGTGATCAATGATCAGTGATGTACTCGTAGATACACTAGTTACTTAGTTAGGTACAATGTCCCGTTAGTTGTTATTCGTTAAATTGTTTTCCTTTATTCCCGGACCATGGACCTTATAATTTGAAGCTGAAAGGTAACACTTTTGTTGTTTGGATCACGTACACTATTAGTGTGTGTAATTGCAGCACAATAGTTGAAAGTGGTGCTAACCAAATGGTGAAATATCACCGCGGCTGGGTTATTGGGAAAGTTTCCACAAAATAACTTGCCGGTTATTGTTCTCACGCCGTTACACTGAGCACATCATCATAATTAAATTCTGTATCTTATATGGATGGCTTACTTGAGTCCATAAAGGATGCTGCAAAATCGTCAATTGGTGTCATCAGACACAGGAAACGTAATCGCAGCGACGATGATGAGGTGAAAAACTTATCTAGCCAGCGTTACTTGTTGAGACAGCAGCTTAATGATAACCAGTCTTTAGACAGAACCTCACTTAGATCATCTATTAACTGCCTCACCAATCAGATCAAGCAGAGACTTTCTAACATACGATCAGCTGCTGCTGATGCTATCTGTAATACCATCAGTTCAACAACAGATAGTAAGAAAATGTTTGAAGCTGTTCGAACCCTGAACTTACCTAAAAGTAAAGCCCCTTCTAGTATTGGTGTTCATGATGAGCAAGGGTGCAATATTGCAACAGACACTGGTAAAGCTGCCGTAGTTGCTAAGTACCTTGAGCAACAACTTACTCGTGATGAAGCACCTTTAGAACCTTTTGTAGGACCTCCTCGCCCACTAGTTAAGCCATTCACTAGTGAAGAAATCGGATCAGCTGCTAGAAGTCTCAAAAATGGTCGAGCTAACGGCCCAGATGGGATTCCTAATGAGCTTCTCAAGTATTCTACTGGATCAGTACACAGACGTTTTGCAGACATTATCAATAGAAGCTTCGAGACCAATTCCTACCTTGACCCCATTGGACAGGCAAACATTACCCCCTTACAGAAGCCAAATAAGCCCATTGGTCCAGTGAAGAATCTACGACCCCTCACTCTCTCAAATGCTGTTAGAAAGATTCTTTCAATGGCAACCTTGAAGAGAATTGAGAATAAAGTCAATGCCTTCACTGGTCCATGGCAATGTGCTTACAAGCAGGGTAGATCATGTGCTGACATTGTATGGTGCCAGCGTGTGATGTTATCAGTTGTCCAGAGGAAGAGGTGGGAATACCATCGTATGGGGATCGACATGTCTAGTGCCTTTGACACTATACGACGATCTACCATCCTCGATCTTCTTGTTGAGTGTGGCTGTGATGATGACGAAGTCCGTTTGGTAAGACTTTTGCTTTCCAACACCAAGCTCAAAGTCAACATCAACGGTACACTGTCTGCTGAATTCCAGAGTTTTCTCGGTGCATTCCAAGGTGACTGTCTGTCTGGATGCTTGTTCACACTTGTCTTAGCGGGTTCCTTGCGTGACCTCCGTAACAGGCTTGAAACTGCAACGAATAGGCCTAACCCACCTATCACCGATATTGGTCTTCCACTTGACAGTGAGTATGCTGATGATATCGACTTCAATGATGAAGATGAAGACAATTTGAGGGAGCTGTTGCCTATTGCAACAGAAGTCCTTAAAGATTGGAATCTCTTCGTTAACGAAGACAAAACTGATTTCACTCATGTGTACTTAGCTGAAAAGGGAGCTAAAGACGATCAGGGTAAGCCAATTGCAGGGAACGAGCTCTGGAGAAAGAGTATCACGCTTGGCTCCATGCTTTGTAGCAAGGAGGACATCTCTAGAAGGATATGTCTGGGATATGCCGCGTTTAACAAATACAAGAAAGCTTGGAACCATAAGATCCCTCTGAGCAAGAGGCTTCTGTTGTATGAGGCTCTGGTAGTATCCGTCTTAATGTACAATTCATCTTGCTGGGCTGCCCCTAAATCAGTATTGGAAAAACTAGATATTGCTCACAGACGTCATCTGCGATCAATTTTGAATTACAAATACCCTCACATCATCTCCAACAAGAACTTGTATAAACGCTGCAATAGCGAACCATTGTCAGCTAAAGTGGCTCGTAGTCGGTGGAGGATGCTCGGACATGTACTGCGTGGGCCTACAGATGGCCCAGCCTATTCGTCGCTTGTTTTTGCTGTCAACACCTTACAGCTTCAAGGGCGGCGTGGAAGATCGCAGTCAAACCTTTTCTCACTGATTCTACACGACCTTAGTGTCCGAAAATTATCGTTAAATAATTTATGTGATTTGAACTGATTAACGTTAATTGCTCAGAATAGAGTTAAATGGAGAAGTATGCAGATTGCATGACTTTTGTTTGAGAAAGATTAGGGGACAGAAATGTTTACTTTGTTTACTATCTGTTTCTTAGAGCTTTTGTTTATATATATATATATATATATATATCTTATACTTGCTACTTCGGTCTTCGTCTCAAATCTACTAACCTCAGCTTTACGTTTTAATACTTTCAACACTACTATATAACAAATAATTTGAGGAGGTTCTCTCAAGATGATTTTTATATCGAAGATTTCAAGAGCCTAAACTGTGTATGATTCGCCTCTCCAAACAAATCTAAAGTTATTTTAAGATAATGTGATCGCAAATCTCGATGTTATGTATGTCATGAGATTCTAGATATTAGATCTATGAGATGACGAATTAAATTTTTGTACAAATTGTGTCCTTTTTACGCACCGGTTCTATTATTATTATTAAGGGACGTGATTCTTGTTAAGTAAATTATAACGGTAAAGTAGTGCATGTTGTGTAATGTATTATTATTTAGGGTATTTTGGAGAGAGTTTAGGCTTTAATGGAACATGGTTTATTTATTATATGCATTATTATTATTATTTGTAGTTTCGGGTATATATATAGAACCAATTATATAGAACCAATGCTTTTATTGCAGTTAATGTTCAACTTTACGGAAACTTGCATTTACTGTTAATTGTCAAAACTTTAAGGCTCATTATTTGAAAATTACTTATTGTAGTCTGTTGGATGTCAGCTCTTTGCGCACCTGACCAGCCAGCCCCTCTGATTGGTCCCCGCGAGTGATCGCGAGTACAGGGTGGCTGCTATCGGGAAGCCCATTGGCCGGGTCGCGTGACGCGTGACGCGTGTCGCGTGGTGCGACACTGATGCGTTGCACCGTCGCGTATTGTAGCGTGGCAGTTCTGAGTGTAAATCTGAAGAGCGCCTTTGACTAATCTCAATTGTTAAGTTTTCGAGCTAACAGTAACAGCTTAATTTGTCTTAGTTATAATCTAATTAATCCGAGCGATAATCTATAGACTTCTTCGAGTGAGTCTATAATCGAGTCAATTGTTAAAAGTTTTGCTCAGAAATTCTTTTCTATGTTGTAACTTTTTGTATTTCTTATTTCCATTTGATAATTCTTCTCTGTCAATGTCACTAAACTAAACTTGTTTCACTTATAAATATAACATTAGGTACGCCCTGCCGTCCGTGTTACATAACCACAGCTCAAATAGTGATATGTAATACTTAGCCCTTGAAACTCTGTTTTCTTTATCTGTTTAATTACTCGCCACCTTGCCTCTGTTCAGATTGTGGTGAACGTGCCTTTGCATATGAAACATTTTTAGTTGTTATATATAACAACCAAAAATCCATCTCTCATATTTAAAACTATTGAGATAATGTTGACATATATTACGAGTTTTTAGATATTCGGCGTTTTTGAATCAATAATTTGACAAACAAATATTCCTTTTGCTCTCCCTCTATGTAAGACCAGGATGTGATCCTATATATAGGATGTGTGTGTTACGGTAATGGTACATGTGTTAAGGTAATGAAACATGTGTTATGGTAATCTGTCTAATGGACAGTTCAACATAACAACAGTAACCTGGAGTAACCACCATCGTACCAGACCCATAATAACGATTACCGCGATTGTATGTATGTTTGATGTTCACGCCTATTACTATTAGTACTGCTGCTTGTTCCTCTGCCTCTCTGCTTGTACCTGTTAATGCTATGCTTTGCTTATAGAATCTCTCCCATTGCTATAGCATCTCTCATATTTAAAACTATTGAGATAATGTCGACATATATCACGAGTTTTTAGATATTCGGCGTTTTTGAATCAATAATTTGACAAACAAATATTCCTTTTGCTCTCCCTTTATATAAGTTATAACACCCGGATGTGATCCTATATATAGGATGTGTGTGTTACGGTAATGGTACATGTGTTAAGGTAATGAAACATGTGTTATGGTAATCTGTCTAATGGACAGTTCAACATAACAACAGTAACCTGGAGTAACCACCATCGTACCAGACCCATAATAACGATTACTGCGATTGTATGTATGTTTGATGTTCACGCCTATTACTATTAGTACTGCTGCTTGTTCCTCTGCCTCTCTGCTTGTACCTGTTAATGCTATGCTTTGCTTATAGAATCTCTCCCATTGCTATAGCATCTCTCCCTTTATGCTCAATGTGTCGAATGTGTTCACTGTGTATAGTATAGCTACCTAAAGATCCGTGATAAAGAATCGAGATTATAAACATAAAGAGGGATTACGAACCTAAAAGTATGAACTAGGGACAGGGGTCATGAATAGGGAAATAGTTTGCTCACTTCTAAGACTAAACACAATTTCTGTCTACATTACATGACACAATGAGACTCTATACTCTCTGTAATACTAGACATAGCTGTAAACGTGCAGCTCATGTTTGGCAATGGCAGCTGTTTTATCTTTCACCAGCTCCCCACATCTTGCAACGTGGATTGTTTAGCAAATTGCCACATAAAGAGACGAGAGAAGGGAGCGTTTTCTTTTGTTGCTTTCTTTTCCCGGCCCACCTCTTCGTTATATCGACCGTTTACTTCGTTTATGATGGTGTTATTTCTTTGTTGGGTATTCCGTTTTCGCATAATTTTTCGATTTAATATAGAGAGGCAGAAATAATCGACAAGTATTATTCTTCTATAGGCTTAGCCACTAGGCGATAAGGAGAAACCTAAATTTTGGCCTTATCAGACTAATTTTGTAACGATCAGACTGGATAAGGGTGATGCGAATTTTAAACGTTAAATTAGTAATGTTGCTATTACATATCGGCCGCGGCCTAAGATTTGTTATACTACAAAAGTTAAGTTATTAAAGTTATTGAGACAAATCATTCGAGGCAAACAGGAGGTTGCTGTTTTGGGCATTAATTTCCTCATTTATGACCTTGTACTTATATCGCCGAACCTTTTGAAATTTGAACATAACTTAAATCTATGATGTCATAAAAAATATATTGTTCAAAGCCAGTATTATATAGTCATATCTGTTTGATTTGATCACTCTTAACAGCCTGACAGACTACAATAAAATAAAATTTAGACCGAATAAAATAAATTGCGCTCTTCTTATTTTGTAGTAAACTTGACTACCAACTCATTTCACGTTTATTATCGCGTGAGTGCAATACCACATGCGATATGTAGATCATGATACGTATCCGCGGATGACTAATGCCGGTATTGATGTTTTGCATTCAAACTGCTCTAACTCTGCACTTTGTTAATGTTATTCATTAGTACAGACAGATCCGTCTGAAAAAATCGATCTGCCGACACACAAAGCTTACAAAAAATTTTGGACGTATTGAGTCCCATTAGGTTACCTTGGCTGACCAACTTTTCCAAACTTTTCCACGTGTCTTAAGGCCACTTTTTGCCACGTTACCACTTTTTATCACCTTTCTTGTTTGTCAAATATCTTTAGTTGTGAACATCGTAAAAGGTTGCAGATTAATCGAGGGTGTTTCATATTATCAGGAAGAAAAACTTTATGCAGACAATTTTTACGTCAGTTAATCAATTAGTTGGATAATTATCAATAGCTTATAAGCAAAAATTTAAAAAATGTTTATTTGCTCAAAATGATTGGAATACCTAGCTTAAATCACGGAGAAAAGTAGTTTTTAGAAAAACTTCGACATTTTTCACTTCCATTTTGTTTTCAAGACTTGAAATTTGATAGCCAAAAGCTATCAAATTGCATGAAACGTGTAGTGGAGAAAAAGGTGTGTAGTGGAGAAAAAAAAACGTGTAGTGGAGAAAAATACTTTTTTTAAACTTCGTTAATTTTTTCAAGAATACTAAAATCACCAATATTTGTAGTTGGAGTTCAGTAAATCTCGGCAGTTTTAGTAAGATGGAGATTTTGTACTCCTTACAAGTTGTAAATGAGCACGTGCGCATTTACAACTTTCCGCATGAATAAAAGTGAACGTGCCGACCATTTGCCTCGCAAGTGCAGTACGTCGTGTTAATTTGACAGTAAATCTTGACTTGAAACAAACATATTTAAGACCGACAATCGTAGGTAATGAATATATATCTCAATTTGTACAGACTACAACTAATTGTCAACACATGACTTGATGACTAGTCCTGATCTCTTACAAATATGTCACTCTTACAGATATGTCATTTGTCAACTTCCGGCCGACTACCAGTTTGGAAGTGTCGGAATTGTTCCGACGAGATGATCGTTTATAGTTTATAGCCGTTTCTAATAATGGTCGACATAGCCATTAGCCGTGTTGTAACTAGCACTTGCAGTTCATATGTCTGGTATCGTACTACTAGTACTATACAGATACTATACCGATACGACTCATAGTACGATACACCTCATTCTTGTGGTTGTTGTTGCTCCTTCCGATACAGGTTTGTATACGTGTATCCTGATTACCGGTTTGAATCAAGGTAACTGCATGTTTGGTCACAAAACTTTGTTTGATTAAAGCAATCTTATTTTACTCCCCGTGCTTCACTCATTGTTTCTTTTATTAACATCGCCTACGAATATATCTGTTAAATCTGATCACACTTCACTTCTAAGTTTTATGCATTCATCAAATACAGGCTAAATCCCAACCATGATTATTATGATACCACTATATTCTGACAATGGTATCACTCGATCTAGCTCCTTAGCATCGTCATCGCCACATACCCGATGGCACTCAAACTTGGAGATTTTGTTTTAAATTATGGATCAAGACAATTCTTACAACACTGTGATTTATGTTAATTATGTGGCAGGACAGTATAATGAAATTGGACAAGCCGTAGCTATAAGTATAAGCTTAAGATTAGCTCTATTGATTATGGATCTGAGGGCAAGATGCTATTATGAAGGCTTT